ATGAGTTTTACGAATATTGTTTTTACGTTTTCTCTTTAATAAAAAGTGAAACATTCGACGCTCAAGATTGTTCTTATTAGTTTACAATTCATTCTTGAGTGTTCATCACTTTCTTCATAAAAACACTATAATTTGGTTATTCATAACTAGATTATTAGTGTTATTGAGAGATCTGGGATCAACAGTAAATGAAGAACTCGACCACAATCGTGAAGATTTAAGAGTTGTTCATGATACCAATTTCCCATTGCTCAACCAATGTCAAAGCAAGGCTTATGAAGCTATTATGGATGTTGTTTATGAAGATCGTGGTCACTTGATATTCATCTATGGTCGTGGTGGAACAGGGAAAACATTCCTTTCGAAAACAATTGTTGCAAGACTTAGATATGAGGGAAAAATTGTATTACCTGTAGCCTCTTCTGGTATTGCAGCATTGTTATTGCCAAATGGGAGGACTACTCATTCTAGATTCCGTATACCTTTAGATGTAACTGCGGAATCAGCATGTGAGATCCTTCATGGCACACAATTAATTGAATTGCTTCAAAAAAAATCTTTGATTATTTGGGATGAGACTCCTATGGCACACAGATAATGCTTTGAAGCTTTAAACAAGAGTCTACGCGACATACTCAGCACTCGTTATGAAGATAACAAATCAAGGCCATTTGGTGGTCTAACGGTCGTTTGTGGTGGTGATTTTCGTCAAATCTTGCCAGTCATTCCAAGAGGTACTCGGTTGGATATTGTTAATGCATCACTTAATTCTTCATATTTGTGGTCGTTGTTTCAAGTGTACGAGCTTAACCAAAACATGCACCTTCTACATAAAAGTGTGTCTTCGTCAGAAGTCCTTCACATCAAAGCATTTGATGATTGGATATTACAAATAGGCGATGGATCGTATTATGATAATTTTGTGGATGAAATGCTCAAGCTTCCTTCAGACATTTGTTTAGAACAATCTGAGCACCCTATACAATCCATACTTGAAGCAGTTTATCCCTCACTATTGGATCATTACAAAGATCCTTCGTATCTTACAAAAAGAGCTATTTTAACTCCAAAAAATGATATGGTGCAAGAATTAAATGACTGCATCATGGATATAATACCGGGAGAAGGAAGTACATACCTTAGTTATGACATTGCAAAGGCAATGTGCAATCTAATGATGAAGACCTTCTTTATCCAACTGAATTTGTAAATAGTTTGAGATTTAGTGGGATACCAAATCTTAAGGTTGGTGCTCCAGTTATGATTTTGCGTAACATCAATCAAACAGAAGGGTTGTGCAATGGAACACGACTGATTGTCATATTACTTGGGAAATGGTCTGTTAGAGGAGATATAATTTCTGGAAGTCATACAGGCAAGAATGTTACAATCGCAAGAATCATAATGTCACCAAGCGACTCAAAATGGCCATTCAAGCTTAATTGCCGCCAACTACCATTAGCACCATGCTTTGCCATGACGATAAATAAGAGTCAAGGCCAATCGCTTAAACATGTTGGACTTTTCTTCCCAAAACAAGTAAATCCTAAACTTTATTCCTATTACGTTTGTTATATTACATGGTTCACAATATAATCAACCATAATCCTCATCATGATCTTTCATAGGTTTCTACATATGGACAACTATATGTTGCGGTGTCTCGAGTTACATCACGTGAAGGGCTAACCACACTTAATGTTGATGAAGAAATTAAGGAACATAACATGACAAAAAAATATAGTTTATCATGAAGTTTTTAACAACGTCTCTCCAACCAATTACAATTGAATAAAGGTAAAAATTTATGAAACTTATTATAAATTCTTTGAATTTTTATATTATTTCGTTTACTCATTTTTTTTCATCGGTTTAATATTAACTAATATTGTTTGTTTTCAATTGCAGAACCTTGAAGTTAAATTATAATGCAAGATGCACATGTTAATTGTGGTATTCACTTGGATTATTCGAATAACACTTCATGTCATATAATTTAATTTTTTTTTTGATGTTTTTCATAACACTGCACTTTCAATGTTATTTTGGTGATTGGTATTACATGATTTAAATAGAATTATATACGTGTGTGTTGGGTCACCTATTGATTTGGTGATGACCCACTGATCTATTCCTCTACCTTGGCAACACTTAGTAGTTATTGGTTCTTTGTATATTGGTGTCTTGGTACATACTTAAAGCCATTGGCAAAATCGAAGACTAGCCGATGTGAAGACAGAAGGTCACGGATGCGGTGTTGTGGATCAACTATCTAACATACACACCAAGACTCTAAAGTAGCTGAAATRMATATTGAAAATATTTTGAAGCTACAAGCCGATTGAAGGAAGATCTTCATAGACCGAAGATTGAAAATCTTCATGGACTCAAGATTGAAGATCATGGACYGAAGATTGAAAATCTTCATGGACTCAAGATTGAAGATCATGGACCGAAGATTTGTGAGTAGCTGCTTGAAGCTACATATCCATCCAAAGGAGATCTTCCTACAGACTGACTGTATCTCTGCAAAGTTTGTCTCTACATGAACTGTGTTGTATGCACGTTGTGTACAATGAAAATGAGATATCAACGTTGGTCAAGTCAACCCCTGCCTTCTTATCCTCAACTGACAAGTGTCCCATGCATTAAATGCTGAAGGTAGTATAAAAAGGCAGTGTGCATCTCCCATGCATACAAATGGCTTTTGCAAGATTACTTAGTGCATTCTCAAAGCAATCGGCTGTTATCTTCTACTCCCTTGCTCTCCGGTGTGCGAAGAAATTCTTAGTGTTCTTCATTTCCTTTCAAGAACTCTTTGTGTTGTTCTTGAAAGTTCTTCTCCTTGTAAGATTGTTTAGGTTAGGTTTTCCTTTCCTATCTTCCACAACAATCTTTTGTATTTCTGTGTGTATTAATTCTTGATATAAATCAATAAGAATTAAAAAGTTGAAAAAAGTCTGTGTAATTGTATTCAACCCCCCCTTCTACAATTACTTTTTGTTTATTGTCATTCCCTTCTACAATTACAATTACTAACAAGTGGTATCAGAGCAGTTAGCTTAATCTCAAAAGCTAGATCTGCAATGGCCTCTTCTTCTTTCAACTCTACTCCTTTTTCTTACCAAGACAATGGCACTAATGCCAAGCCTCCCAAGTTTAACAAGAACAATTTCTCTATGTGAAAAAGTTGCATGACACTCTACCTTGAGGGTGTTGATAGTCAATATCTCTCAATCCTCAAGGATGGACCCATTGTTCCTAAAGTATGGCTTCGTCATGGAAAGAGCAAAGACGATGGTAACTCTTCAAATGATTCTGATGATGATGAAGAGAAATCTGACTCTACTGGAAGGTTCATCATCAAAGATCCTTCTCAGTACAATGAAGACGATAAACGAAAAGTTTCATTGGATACCAAGGTAAGGGCTATCATTGCCCTCTCTCTTCCTGATGGTGTCTTCCATTCCCTGGTAAACCTCTCTACTGCCAAGGACATGTGGAACACTCTATGTGTTCTGTATGAAGGAACCATCAAAGTAAAGAAAAGCAAGAAGATTGGCCTTGTTAGGCAATATGAGCTCTTTGTGCACGGGAAAGGTGAATCTCTCACTGAGTACTACAATAGGTTTAACAGCCTTCTCAATGATTTGAAGTTTCATGGCAGAGTCTACGAAAACGAAGAAGTCCTATGCAAGTTCATGGACTATTTATCTGACTTCTGGGAAAACATCTGCACTTGTATCAAGACAAGTAAAGATCTTGAAAATATGCCTCTGACTGCTCTTTATGGAACTCTCCATAATTATGAGCAAACCAAGCTTTTCAAAAAGGCATTATTGAAGGATMCCAGAACTTCTTCTCCTGTTGCCCTTCTCTCCAACGATACGAGGAAGCCAGTTAGTGAACCTTGTATCACTTATCTATCTGACACTGAAGAAGATGCTGTCAGAAAAGAAGATCTTGCTGAAAGTCATACTGATGATGCTGATGTTGAGGGTGATGAACTCTCAGTTAATGACTTGGCTGACAACATGGCCATGATGGCTACCAACTTCAAAAGGTATGCCAAAAAGGGCTCTTCTACCTTCTCTCCCAGATCTAAGGTCACCGATCAAAGAACCTTAGATCAATCTAAGTCAGCTCCTCTTGAACTGTCCAATGAGAAGAAAGGTCACTTTGCTGCTGAGTGCAAAAGCAAAAGGATCTCTAAGCGTCATCCTTCTCATCCCTCTAGCCAATCCTCTCACGATAAGTACAAGGCAAAGTACAAGAGAGAAAAGGAAAAGAACCTGAGCCTTCAGAGAAAAGGTAAGGGTCTCATCGCTGAGACTCATGACTGGATTGATGAGCCAACCTCTTCCTCCTGTGATGATGACATGGCACATCTGCGTCTTATGGCCAACATCCAGGAGATAGAAGACTCTGTCAAGGAATCCTCCTCTGCTGCTGTTGATCTACCTTCTACTTCTAAGGATGCCAAAGATCTGGTCAAACCAAATAAGGTAAACAACTTCTCTTCTCTCTCTGAATCTGAAAAGGTTCAAGCTTATGATTCTTTATCTGTTGATCTTTACAATGCTAGATCTGCTAAGAAGCTTGAAATCAAAAGTCTAACTAGTCAGTTACATAAATGCATGAATCAACAGAAAGACTTTGATAAATTGAAAAATGACCTTAAAGAACAAAAGTTAATAAACAATGTTCTTAACAAAGAAAAAACTAAGGTCTTTGAGAAGCTGGAGAAAGAAAAAGCCATTCTACAAAAATGGACTAGATCATCCAAGAACCTAGATAAAATTTTACTTGATCAACTTCCTATTAATGTAAAGACTGGTCTAGGTTATGATGATATGGATCTGTGTGCTCCTGATGACTCTATGTGCATTTCTTCTCACATTCTTTCTTCCTCCTCTCCCTCTCACTTATCTAATTCTGTTGGATCTTTTTCTCCTAGATCCAATGAAAATGGAAAATCTCTTAAGTTCGGAATTTTTGTCAAAGGAAAAAGTTCAAACACTGAATCTGAGAATGTTCCTGTCGACTGTGTGTTTAACTCTCTCTCTCTCTCTCTTAAGGAATCTTCTGATGCATGTTCTTCTAAATCTAAAACATCTGAGCATCTGAAGCATCCTTTGAATTATCGTTTCACTACGGCTGAGAAAGGCAAGTCTGTGGACAAGCCTATCAAGAATAAGAAGCCAAAATCCAAACTGAAGATGAAACATAAGCCTTCGGCTACCTCATCTCAGTCAGCTGTTGCTTCTCAGACTGGTACCTCAGTACCTTCTATTACTGAGTTCGTTCCTAGACTAGTTTCTYTGAAAAAGGCTTCCAAGGTTTCTACTTCTTCTAAGAAACCTATCCCTGAGTCTGAAAAAGGAATTCTTGGTCCAAAGCCCTCTTCTTCCTCTGTCCTTCCTTCCAAAGCTTCTTCTTCTCTCAAAAAATCCAAAAAACATGTTAACACGGTTAAGCACACACCTTTAATTCCTATTAAACCTGTGTTTATTTATCGGAAATGTTATAACTGTGGTGACACTTTTCACATGGCCAAGAACTGTCCCAAGGAAAGAATCTCTAGGCCAGTAAGAGAAGAGAAAGAAGAAGATACTCCTAACCCCAATGGACCCATTGTAAAATGGGTACCTAAAAACTGATTTATCTATGTTTGCAGGGCTTAGGACACCGACAGATATGGTACTTGGACAGTGGATGTTCAAGACACATGACTGGAAACAAGTCTCTGTTGATCAACTATGTGTCTGAACCTAGTCCTTCTGTAACCTTTGGAGATAATGCCATAGGTACTACTAGAGGATATGGTGTTCTTTCTAACGGCTCGGTTACCTTCAACCGAGTAGCCTATGTGGATGGACTGAAGCACAATCTGTTAAGCATTAGTCAACTGTGTGATCTCAATTTCATTGTTAAGTTTGAAGAAAACCAGTGTACTATTCTTTACTCTTCTGTCAAGAAGGTATTAACTGGTGTCTGAAAGGATAATGTCTATATGATCAACATGGACTCTTCTAGCTCTTCCGATGCCAACATCTGTTTCTACTCTGATGCTACTGCTGATCAAAATTGGCTATGGCATAAAAGGCTGTCCCATTTCAACTTCAAAACCATCAACAATCTTTCTAGTAAAAATCTGGTTATTGGACTTCCGAATATGTCATATGTCAAACTGAAGCTGTATGCTGCTTGTGAAAAAGGCAAGCAAACCAAAGCAAGTTTCAAGTCCAAGAGGTGCTCTTCTATTTCTGCTCCTTTGCACATGCTCCACATGGATCTCTATGGTCCTGTGAGTGTTCAAAGTTTGGGTGGAAAACGTTATACTCTTGTTATTGTGGATGAGTACTCAAGATATAATTGGGTCTTCTTTCTTCAACATAAGCGTGATGCAACTGAAGAAATTATCAACTTTGTGAAACGGATTGAAGTCTTGAATGGTCAACTTGTCAGATCAATTCGAAGTGACAACGGCACTGAATTCAAAAACAATGTTCTTGAAAGCTTCTTTGATGACAAGGGTATTTCTCAAAATTTCTCAGCAGTTCCGACTCCACAACATAATGGAGTTGTTGAAAGGAGAAATCGTACACTATATGAAGCTGCACGTTCAATGCTAAGTGAAGCAAGTCTTCCGACATATTTTTGGGCTGAAACTATCAATACAGCGTGCTTTACTCAAAATAGGTCTATAATTGTGAAAAGACACAATAAGACTTCTTATGAAGTATTTCATGGTAGAAAACCAAACATCAGCTTCTTTCATGTGTTTGGTAGTGCATGCTATATTCTGAATGACAGAGATCAGTTAGGAAAGTTTGATCCTAAATCTGATGAAGGAATCTTTGTTGGTTACTCTCTCTTCTCTAAAGCCTACCGGGTGTACAACTTACGTCGTCAGTGCACTGATGAATCTGTCAATGTCAGATTTGATGAATTTGGATCAATGCCTGAAACATCATCATTTCAAAGTGATGATCTTGAGCTCAATAAGTGGTTGAAATCTCACTTCTCTGAGAATTCAACGCCACTCGGTGGACCTTCACATTCTAATGGAAATGATGTTCCACCTGTTGAGGATGAGAATGAAGATCTTTCATTCAACATGTATATCCCATCGGTCTGTCCTGAATAAGAACCAGCCGATCTGGCACCTCTTTCCTGGTGTCAATGTTCCTATTTCTGCTACTAGGAACATCGGTGACCCAACCTCAGTAGTTGTCTATTCCAATCCTCTGACAAATGCTGACAGTGCCTCTACCTCTTTTTCTCTTCCTCTTCCTCTTCCTCCTGCCACTAAGTGGACAAGAGATCACCCAATAGAGCAAATCATTGGTKATCAGCAAGCAGGTGTCCAAACACGTCGTGGTGCTGGTAATWYCTGTYTGTATGTCAATTTTCTATCTCTCATCGAGCCTAAAAGAATTGAAGAAACCCTTGATGATCCTAGCTGGATCAGTGCCATGCAAGAAGAACTGCTGCAGTTCGAGCATAACAAAGTTTGGAGACTGGTCCCCCGACCAACCAACAAAACAATTATTGGCACAAAGTGGATCTTTAGAAATAAAATGAATGAGAACGAAACGGTGACTCGGAACAAAGCCTGACTCGTTGCCCAAGGATACAGGCAAGAGGAAGGCATTGATTATGATGAGACATTTGCTCCAGTAGCAAGATTGGAAGCTATCTGAATCTTCCTTGCCTATGTTGCATTCAAGAACTTCAAAGTTTTCYAGATGRATGTCAAAAGTGCCTTCTTGAATGGGAAACTTACTGAAGAAGTCTATATGAAGCAACCTCCAGGCTTTGAGGATCCTAAAGATCCAGAGTATGTCTATAAATTAGACAAAGCTTTGTATGGTCTCAAACAGGCTCCTCGTGCATGGTATGACACTCTCTCTACTTTTCTTTTGGAGAACGGCTTCTCCCGTGGT